TCACTCTCACACACACACACTCACTCACACACACACACACGTTTAAATCACGTCTGCCAGCAACATCACATGGTCATACGATTGCGCACACCTTCAAGTCATGTGCACTTACATACTACATGTTCTCAAGTGCAGCGCATACGCATTAATATGCATGCAACAGTGTTCACCAGACGTGTTGCATTGCTCTCCAGGCCATGTGCATGAACATGTGTGTGTTTGAGTGTCAGTGAGACAAAGAGAGGAAAGAGAGTCCATGTGCAGCTATTGTTCACACATCACGTTGAGCTGACAGACTCCACACTCTCCGTGCAGCTGCTGAACATCTTTCAGTTCTCAAGCTCAATTATTGTGGAAAAGATAAACTTCTGTGACCTTTAACTTGAGGTGGTTTGTGCATCAAACCAAAGCCCCTTCCTAGGCTATGAATCTGAGTAGCCTAGTGAGCTGCCTTCAAAGAAAACATCCTGATGGAAAAGAAACCTCATAAATTGTTGCACAAGAAGCATAAATTAAAGCACACAAAACTCAACTTACAACCGGTTCTTATAGACCCGGGACTCCCAAACTTTTTTGTCCCCTTTGACCTAAAATATTTACTCGAAGTCCCCCTGAGATCTTAAGTTAATATTTTAGTAACTTATTCAGATGTTCACTTTTCTGATGTTGGTTACATGATGGTCACATAAACATGCAGGTAAATAAATACATAATTTAATCAAACAAATAAAATAGTATCTTTGTAGTAAGTGTCTTATTTTGATTGTTTTTATTTGAAAACTATTTATTTAATTTTAATTTATATTTTTATGATTGAATTAATTATTAGCAAGTGTTTTAATTTTAAATTTTAAAAGTATATATTTATTTAAATTTCACATTTTTATGATTTAATTCATTGTTAGTAATGTCTTTTTATTTTAATTATTTTTAATTTTTTAAATGTATTTATTTATTTAATTTTTTATGATTTAATTAATTATTAGTAGGTGTATTATATTGATTGTTTTTAAAAATTATTTATATTAATTTTACATTTTATGATTTATTAATTATTAGTAAGTATTTCATTCTAATTTTTTGTTTCATTTTAAAATTACATATTTATTTGAATTTTACATGTATATGGTTTAATTATTAATGTTTCATTTTGATTGTTTTTATTTGAAATTTATTTGCATGTGTTTTATTTTATAATAGTTTTTGTTTTAAATTGATATTTTTTTGTTCAGTTTTGATTTAAATAATTATTAGTAAGTGATTTATTTTTGTTATTATTATTTATTTAAATTTTTACATTTTTTGTAATTAATCTTTTTATCAACCCCTAATCTTCCCCACTAACCCCAGTTTGGGAAACCAACACTCTATACTCTAAAAACAGCCAATTTTTAATTACACTCAACAATTTTCCATATGACCATGAAGTCGAGCGTTTGCGTTCAAATAAACTCACGTAGAGTATATTCTGAGTCTCTGGCTTTATAAATACATCTGTAAACACTTTCTGTGATCTTTACGTCTTAAACTTTAATGACATTCTGTTCTTGCAGTGGAGATGTGGAATTAATGGATAGTGAAAGAAATATGAACAGATGAGCATGTGAACAGATGTGAGTGAGTCATAATAACGCACATGTTTCCATCGCTCACCTGCTGTAAACATCATGAGA